TGTTTTGCCAATCACTAAATTGACCAATAGGAATGAAGGAAGGTAAATGAAAATGACAAAAACGGATATTAAAATATTCCGATATGGCGAAGTGGTTTTGACCTCAAATAAATTTAATTAATATTAACAGATGGTCTTTTGGCGAATTGCAAATGGTTTTTTTTGAATTGTATAAAAAAAATGGACCTTTGGCAAATTGCAAAAAGGCTTTTGACATAAATCATTTTAAATTTTAAAAAATGGACTTTTGGCAAATTGTAAAAAGAATTCTAAAAAATAGACTTATGATGTGAATTGTAAAAAATGGTCTTTTGGCAAATTGTAAAAAAAGACTTTTGACATTTAAATTGTAAAAAATAGACTTTTGGCGTGAATTACAAAAAGATTTTTTGAATTGTAAAAAATGGTCTTTTGGCAAATTGTAAAAAAAAATGACTTTTGACATTATCTTAACAGATCATTTAAATTGTAAAAATAAACTTTTGGCATGAATTGTAAAAAAAGACTTTTGACATTATCCTAATAAATTATTTAAATTATAAAAAATATACTTTTTTGAATTGTAAAAAATGGTCTTTTGGCGAATTGTAAAAAAAGATTTTTGAAATTATCTTAACAGATCATTTAAATAAAAAAATAGACTTTTGGCATGAATTGTAAAAAGTTTTTTTGAATTGTAAAAAATGGTCTTTTGGCAAATTGTAAAAAAAGATTTTTGAAATTATCTTAATGGCACATGATTATCTTACAATACAAGCAACCAGTGTTCCATCAGAATGTGCTTTCTCAGTTGCTGGAAATACAATCAGTAAGGTGTGGAATTGCTTATTGCTAGAAACTGCAAGAGCATGTTTGAGTATGAAGAATTGGATAATCAATAAAGTAGGGGTTTAGAGTGCTAGAATAATATTCTCGAAATTACTTATATATTTTTTCCTTATACTTTCTTTATGTTTATTTTTTTTTTGTAACACATTGTAATTCTATACTAATAAAAAATCATTAATGTTTGTTTTATTTTATGCACTTTTTTTGTATATTAATATCTATCATATTCATTCATCATTTTCCATTTATTTGTTATTTACATAACAATAATAATAAGAATAATAATATTTAATTTAATTTATTTGAATATTAATAAGTCATGTTATTTGTATTAATCATTCCTTTTAAGGAAAGATTAACTCGGGATTTCCTCATATAGGTATAAATCACATGGGGAATGGTTAGAACTCGGTTCTGGAACCGGTTCATGGGTCGGTTCAGAACTGCTCAGAACCGGTTCCCTAGTGGAACCGCCTCATCCCTAGACCTGTGACTGTCAGTGAAGGAAAGGATCTACATAGTAAAATTCCGGGATAAGCATCATAGTAAAATCAATTAGTGTCCATAATCTGGAACCACTGCAGAAATAGCATAATATTTTACATGTAGATTTGTACTTTAAAATTTACTAAATAAAACTCTGAATATCTGGTTATCTTTTTAATTTAAATTTATAAAAATAGCTCCAAAATTTATAAAGTTACATAATTCAGAATTGTTTTTCTAAAATCAAAACAAATATTATTGGCCAAAACATACAGATCTTTCATTGAAAAATGATTTATATGAAGAAAAACTTGCCAAGAGCTTTATTAAATTTCCAAAACCATGTATTACACGCATTTTTAACTGCTTTATAAGCCTACCAAAAAAATAGTCAATAATTTCAAATTATAATCATAAAAATGGATGTCCAGATTTAACATTTAAATCTAACCATGACTCTAAAATTGGTGTCTGCAACTGATTTGAAATTCTGCAATTAGTTGTGACCTAGGTTGAAACATCCCAAATTGCAATTTCTTAGACCAGACACCAACTTTACACACCTCAATAATTATTTGTATTACACGCATTTTTAACTGCTTTATAAGCCTACCAAAAAAATAGTCAATAATTTCAAATTATAATCATAAAAATGGATGTCCAGATTTAACATTTAAATCTAACCATGACTCTAAAATTGGTGTCTGCAACTGATTTGAAATTCTGCAATTAGTTGTGACCTAGGTTGAAACATCCCAAATTGCAATTTCTTAGACCAGACACCAACTTTACACACCTCAATAATTATTGGTTTAAATATAGCTGTTTTGCCACTTTTTGACCCGTGATAGTTTATTGACCTATTAAAATTAATATCATAAATTTTCCTCTATTATTATTATATGTAACAATTACTATTAGTTTTTTCTAGATATAAATAACAGTAAAAATAAATAAAGTCAATAGCTACCATTGTGGTTATTAAATATATTTAATAATATTATTATTCTGGAACACATTCTAATTATTTTATATATTTTAATCATCCGGAAAATATAAAAAAATTTTACACATGTCAATTGTAAGTTTAATAATAAAAAAGTGTAAAACTTACGTCGGCACTGTAAGATTTACACAATATTACATCGGCATTGTAAGATTTATGCAAGTTTACGCTAAATTAATTTCCTGATGATATATGAATTTTATACCCACAATCCAGGACTGCTCCTTAAATAACAGATAACTGACAAATTTAATAGCCCATATATTTGTAAGTAAATGTAGTTTTTTACTTTTGATTCACATAGTTTGATATAAGATTTTTTTTATGTAACATAATAAATGCATGACTTTCTATGGGTGCAAAAAATCGATTACTATTATTATTACTATGAAATTTAAAAAATTTGCCTGGATCGGCATTAATTAAATCATTCCTTAACTGGTGGATCACGAATTAGCTCATCGAAAGCTGCAGCTGGTATCCTTAATTACAATATAAACTAGAATAACGAGTTCACCATCATTGAAAGATTTTCTTTTAGGAAACAGTTGGAATTATTATGATTGTTTTCTGGATGTCCAGATTGCCCTTTTTTGAAATTCATTTATAATTATAACATTAATTAAAGTGGAGTTTATCATTATACAGTAATATTAAACTTCTCTGTTGATCTGCAGGATACATCACACAACCAATATTTTTTTGTTTACATAAAATGAAGATTACATCTTTGAAACTATAGTATTATTAAAAAAGGAGCTAATCAAAAGACAGTATAATTAATAACAGCTGAATTATGAACAAACAGCATATGGATCTTTGAGAAATCTTTGGTTTATTTTATTTTGCTCACTCTTTCATTCATCTATTCATTAATTAAAAGAAAATGTGTAACTTCAAAAAACAGATAATGGGGAAACATAACATAGTTAATACTAGTAGATAATGAATAATATTACTATTTATATAACATCATATTAATATTTGTTTTTTCAAAAAAACAGATCTACCAATTAAACATTGGGATTGGATTATTGTTCAAAGCATAATGGTGGATGGTAAGTAATAATATATCAATTACTAATAATACTTCTTATTATATATATATAATGTATTAATGAGGTTTACTATTATGATTATTGTTACATATGCAACTGATTTATTATAATGGCTTATTGTTAACATGGTAAGTAATAATAATTTATTAATAATAATTTATTGTATAACATTCATTGTATTAATGGGTTTATTATTATGCATGTGACCATCAAGGTAATAATAATATATTACTAATAATTCTTATTGTATCAACGGGATTTACTGGTTTATTGTTACGCATGGTAAGTAATAATATAATAATTCTTATTAAATATATAACATTGTATTAATATTTCTCTTCTTCCAAAATGAGATTTGCTATCACTATTATTGTTATGCACATGACCATCAAAGCATAACGCAGTAAGTAATAATATAATTTTTATTATATATATATATAACATTGTGATTAATATTTCTTTCTTCCAAAATGGTTCATAGTTAAACAATGGGTTATTTTTACACAACAATTAAAGAAAAAAATTAGTTATCATCATTATTATTGCTATTTATAAAATTTATTTGTATTTAAATAAATAAATAAAATTATTTAAAACAATATATTTTCTAGTAATTTTAAGAATAAATCAATTATAAATCAAGTATAGTTCAGGTTTAATTTAAGTATAATTTAAGTATGGTTCAAGTATGATAAGTAGAAAATAAGTAGAAAATCATGCTTAATTTCTACTTAAATTTGCAAGGAACGAGAATGTTTTAAGTGTTTCCCCATAATAGTCAAAATGCACCTTTTACTTTTCAAATTCTGTGCTGATTCCGTACCAATTCAATTTCACACTAATACTAAATTTGAATAGGGAAATTTTTTCAAAACCGTAAATACGTTAATTTACATTTTTAAGAACGTATTTAACACACGTTAATTCCGTATTTTATTTTTCATGGGGTCAATAAAGCACATATGTGCAACTTTTATTTCATAGCATGAAGGAATTATTAAATTATGTATAAAAAAATTCCAAATAAATAAATCATGATAAGGGTTTTTGCTAGGATCGGGTTTTTCAAACCCTTTTTTGCCCAATGATATTAATTTTTTTACCTATTGTGATGGGCCAACTGTGTTTGCCTCTCCATATTCCAGTACATTTATTATTACTTTACCAAGATCCATTTGTTGAACGACATGTCTAATTTTAATCAATGAATTGAAAGCATCTACATTTCTAAGGCTTGCTAAAAGTATGTAGAATATAATTATTAGACCAAACATGGCTATCAAGTACTGTGTAGCAAACTGTACATCATAGCATGTTTTGTTCACCGTAAATTGAGTGGTACCAACGATTTTAGCCTGGTTGGTAGGAGTCACCATATTGATCATAATATCATTCCACTGGCGTTTGTACATACCACTTATATCCTTTTCAGTTAATCCCTCTTCTTTCCATTGTTGTAATAACGCCAAATTTCCAATCCCATCTCCTCGATAACCTTTTAAACTATCCTCAAGCTTACGCATCATGTCAACTGCAATAACAGGAGCAGAAGCAGCATTTGCATCGATATCCCATATGTTGGAAGTTCCTGCTGGTAACAAAAGAGTATTTTCACTTACTAAAAAACTATTATTAGGAAGTTTTTCTCCAAATTCAACTCCTCCCCACCAAGGATTCATTTCAGCAATATTAAGGGTTCCCTTTTCAATATACCATTGTGCTGGGATAGTTTGCACATCTATTACATTAGTTGATCCTGTTATACTGGATTGCAATTTGATGGTCTTTACACTTGCTTCAACTACACTAGCACAGCTGTACAAAGTTTGTTCAATTCCTTGTTTAGTATGTACGGGAAATCCAAGTAATGTCCAGCAGTCAACACCAACTATATTTTCTGTGAGATTGTCTTTTCTACCATATCTTTCACACCGAATTTCAGCAGCTGAGGTAAGTGTTGAGTTAAATTTAACATCATAATCAAAATAACTATTAAGTGATTTTCCTGAATTAACAGTTTTTGGCTCCTCAAAATTAACTTTAAGAACAGGTGACTCAAAAAAAGTTCCATTTGCTGTCATATTTAATTCTTGCATAAGAAGAGATTGTATAAAACGACTATACCAGATGCTTCTTGCTGGAAGATCTGTTGATTGGCCTCGATCATTGATTGTACTTATATCTGGTAAATTTATATCACAGTTGTTAATAGCTGCATAGCCTATCCAACTAGAGGACAAAGAGGAAGTATTGTTTTTCCATGAAATTATTGTAATATTTGTTGAATGGCAACTGACATGTAGTTGCAACCACAAGCCTTGAATTGACCAATCATGACTCCCATTAGTTTTTAAATTGGGTTTTATTGCTTTGTTTATTAAAAGTCCACCATTACCATGATCTACAACCATTGTGTCAATAATTCCATAACCCTCCTTCTGTACACTTGTCACATTCAACATCATAAAATCATAGGAAGGATATGAAATATTATCATTAATACTAGTTTTCAACAGACGGTATCTCATTGCATTGTTACTGTATGTTTTGTTAAAGTCAATTGCATATTCTTCATCAACATGGAACATATTTTTCATTCCTGGACATAGTTGGTAGTAAAATCCACCACATACCCTAATGCTTGTTAGCTCCTTCAGAGAAAATGTGTTATTAACTGCACTATCCAATAATGGATCAGCATTGATAACATCAGCATCAACAGATGTTATATCATATGTTACTTCAAATGTATAAATACCAAGTGGTGCAATAGCTGATACTCCAAATAATGCTATTAAAGATACCCCAACAAGTATGTAAGTATATTACGTTTATATGATCCCATGCCCCATAATTTAATTCCTGTTAAAGCAGGTTGGCCACCTGTTCCATAAATATTAAGTAGACTTGCCCCAACCACTTTACTTAAAGTTGTCCACTCTAAAGCCATCATTTTATATTGATGCTCATTAATATTGATATGGTGCCCAACACAGAAATAATAATTGGTAGGATAGCACTAAAAATACCAATTAATCCAGCTAATTGACCAATGCTTAATTCAACTATCACCATTTTTAGGGTTTAAGGATTATAAAAAGAATATATTACGATCAAGTTTTGTAGTGTGTAAACTTGTGTGTAAATGATTTATGTTATTATTGTTTATTATTTATTATGAAATAACAGGCTATGCGTGTTAGAAGGGGATAGATAGTGAAAATTTATTATTAGTTTCGATTAATGAATGAATGGATTTATATTCACAACACTTGCTATTTCACAGTTAATTTTAAGGTAGATTATTTATTAATTGAAACTTTCAAAAACCCTCTTCCTTATATACATTATTTAGTTTAATTGCTGCGATGCAGTATAAATTTGGTTGGTGCAGGAACGAATCAAAAAGAAATAATCATCTTTTGCTGAAAGAAAAAATTTTCCATTTGTAGTCATAAACAATATCTAGAATTAGAATTTAAATTATACGTAAATGAAATATTTTGAATTTACAAGGTTATTACGTAGGGGAATTGCTATTTCTCACTGGTGGACCACCTAAGGAATTATACAATTTATGATTAAACCGAACCCTAACTCCGCCCCACGCAAATTTAATTCCTTAGGTGGTGACAATCACCACCGGAGTAATATTATTCATATTATTTTATATTATTATATTATTTATTTGTGTTTATTTATTATTTTTAGTTATCTATTATTTATTTTTAGTTCTTTATTTTATCTATTATTTATTTTTAATTTTATTATATATATTTGTATTAATTTTCCGAATGGTTATCCAACACTATCATCCTCTGTACCAATATATAATTGGCTTATAAACCAATTAGAAGATTATGAAGACTTGACAGATATTTCAGATGAAATGAAAGTCACTATAACTAAAGCAAAAAATAAATTATTGCAATATTATAATAAAACTGATGCTTCATTATATACAATAACAACAAGTAACCATCATTTTAAGACATAAGTTATATTAATTTGTCTTAATTAGTTAATAAATAAAGAAGCAATATTTTTTTTTCATAATAATAAATTATAATAATCATAATTTTTCTAATAGTATTGAACCCCAGACTTAAACTTAATTATTATAAAAAAGATAATTGGGAAAGAAGATACATAGACTCTGCACAAAAATTAATTAATTCTGAAATTAGTAATAATGAAAATGATGGTGAGGATGATTTAACAAGTCAGATTTATAAGTGTAAACATATTGCCCACAATTCCAATGAATTAAATTTGTACCTCAAAGATCCAAATGCACAAGAAAAGACTGATGTTTTGTTATGGTGGAAGGTAAGTTAGATTTTATTATTTAACAATAAAATAATTGATTATATTGATGTAATTAAAATGTATGATATGATTTTCTTGTAGATGCACAAGCTGGAATATCCTCATCTAGCCAAAATGGCAAGGATTATCTTGCCATTCCAGCATCTAGTGTCCAGTTAAAAGTATCTTTTCTGGTGGTACTGATTTAATTACACCAACTAGATGCAGTTTGTCTGCAGATACAATTAGGTGCTGTATGTGCCTTAAAAATTGGTGGAAGGGCATTTTAAAAGATTCACAATAATAAAATTTTTAAATAAAATTATTAAAAAAAATATTTATACTATATAAATAAAAAATATTTTTGTAAATAAAATTATAAAATATACATTAAAATAAAGATTTTTCATTTATTATATATGTGTATTTAATTCAAATCATGGATTCAAATCAGTTATTATAGATTCAAATCAGTCAGTTTGAATCAAATCAAGTAAATCAAATTAGTTCAAATCAAATTATATATTCAAATCAGTTCGAATCAAGTTGAATCAAATCAAAGTACAATTTGGATTTGATGCGAATTCAATTTGAATGAAATGAATCAAAATTAAGTGATTCAATTTGATTCAATTTGATTCAAATTCAAATCAGTTCAAATTTCATTGATTTGTTCAGAGTCTTACCCCCTTCCTCTAAATTAGATAGATCTAAATTTATAAAAGGAGGTATGATAATATTATGTGATTAGTCTTCATTATCCTTGCCAAAAAATAATCAAACACCAAGAACAACTTTATTCAATCCTTTGAGTAAAAATGGAAAACATGATACACATAAAGGAATGATTCTGTTATTAGAAATCCACTATTGAATTTTTGATGGGGTTTTTTAGATAAATTCATTTTCCAACTTTGATTTTGTTTATTTAAAATAATTATTTTATTTTCTCATACACACACACACGCACACACACTCTCTCAAGTTATTTTCTAATGTATGAAGACATACAACTCCAATTCATCCAAGGATGCCAGCACAATTGTAATATTACATAATTTAATTTAATCTATCAATAATCAATCAGATAGTGATAATAAATATACGTATATATTTGCATATAGATAGGTTTACTTGATTTACATCCATATTCAAAAATTTTAAAAAGTGGAACTGGTAATGGGTTTTTGACATTATATCTAGCATGAGCTCTACATCCAACTAGAATTGTTCGCATCATAGACATTAATCTGGATTATATAAAAATATTCATGTGGTTTGTACTATGATATTATTGAATTTAGTACTTGGTCATGTTCAGAAATCTAAAAATTGCTAATAATTATGGTGCTAAAAAGAGGCATCATCATCTACCACTTATTTCTTAAAACATTTAATATAATAATAATATGATCCTAGAAAAGCATTATCTTATATTTGTCAACTTTCTCTCATATACCAACAAATCATGCTGCATTCAATTCAAAAAAATATCTTCTTTTTCAACAAAGATTTAAAAGGTTAAAATCTACATAAAAAAAAGAAAAAGAAACTTTTATATAATTGTTAATTTCCTAATTTTCATTGTTATCATAAGATTTATTTGATTCAACAAACAAATCTGTTATGTGACCACATATATTTCTCAAATCTTCTAAACCTTTATGCATTGCATCTATTGCTGTTATATTGTCTATGAAAATAAAATAAAATACTCTGTAAATACAAAATTAATATATTACGAAAGTTTTTAACATAATAAAGAAATTAATTACTGGTAGTTTGTACACGTAAATTAAGTTTATCTTCTGATGGATGTGGTATAGAATATCCACAATATTCTACTTCTGGGCTTTTTTTTTTTTTCAAAAAAAAAATCAAGTCAATTAATAAAAATAAAAATAAAAATATCATCATCATCATCATCATCATCATAATTATTACTTTTGCATTATTACATAACGTAAAGCATTTCCCAATGTATGATCTTCTTCTGATATGTTAAATGTTAAACTTGTTGGATCATCATCTTTATTAAATTTCTTTTTTATTAAAAAAATTAATAATATTGTAAAGTAAAAAAAACCAAAAAATGGGTTTTTACTTTAAAAATAATTAATTACAAAATCTAATATTTCACTATAAGCATCATCATCAACAGTCTCTCCATCTTCTCCTCCTTCCTCTTCCTCCTCTTCTTCTTCCTCCTCACCCTCTTCGTCTTCTTCAGTAGTGATTATAACTTTTTTATTATTATTGATATTATCATCATCAATTTCCATTTGTTGAGAAGTACTTTTTGGTTTTATAGCTCTTTTATTGGATTTAGTGGTCATTATTATTTATTTTGAAAAAAAATTTATATATGTATATTGGAGTGACTAGTAAAGTTGAAAAAAAATATATGGGGCATACTGCAACAAAACCAGACAAAGTGAACATTGTGTCACTATGGGATTACAGGGATCAAAATTTAGTAACGTGATTATTATTATTATTATTATTGTGATTTAACAATTTTATAATCTCCCATCTGTTGTCTTTGATTTTTCTTAATATTAAGTGGTATATAGAATTGCTTCTATATAAAAATAATTAATATGAAATTAATTTATATCAGATCTATCATGGAACCCAAGGATTACAGCACTATCATCTCAATCAAAACAATTCTCAATCTTCAATTAATTTTTAAGATGAAATTTGTGAATATATCCCGTGGTTTCTTTTATAT